ATGTGAGATTTATTTGCCACTTTAAGAAGAAATTCTAAATTCCAAATGTGCCTTACCATAGCAATGACATCATGTGAGCCCGCCAAGTAATCCCTGCGGCCACTGAATGCTTTTTACTTTTTTGTGACACCAAAAACTTTGTGGGCCTGTCATTTGTAATTATTCAATTGTATGCCTCACCAGTGACGGACCCAGAAAAATTTGGTAGTGGGAATAAATTTTTTACTCAAAATAAATATGAATTATTTTTTAAAGTATAATTTTAAATATTTATTAAATTACATTCAAGGTAAGAATTTGTTAAAATTAACTATTAAATAATACGGCATAGTACACAAAATTATAATGATGTACTATATAAAACACGGTCCAAGTATAAATAAAATTTTTATAGTTGTTAAAGTTATGTTTGTTTATTTTTTATTAAATAAAATTTATTTACCTTTAGTAGAGAAATTTTTTGTGGTATATTTTTTATCTAAAAAAATAAATAAATTTATTTTCTGAATTAGTATTCCCTCCATTAATATAAAACTATTATTATTGAGATTATAACATATAGATTTGATTCGAGTTAAATAAATTTTTGAAGGGATAGGTGAATTTTTTAGGGAGCAAGTGAATTCTTTCTTATGGGAGGGGGGCAATTGAACCTTTTTGAGGGGAGCACAGAAATTGGTTTTGGATCATTTTGTATATGTCTTCCTAATCTTGTGGGAATTGACCCCAGAAGCTAACAAGTAAGTCCGTCAGTATGCCTAGCCATCCTCTTACTCTTGCCAATTCTATTAGAATAATCAGGAATTTTCGTACGCCTAATTGGCAAGTCTTCATTTATCATGTATTTAGATAAGCAAATCGTTGTTGGTATATATATATATATATATATATATATATATAAAGATAAGCAAATCGTTGTGGTGGCTAATTGGCTCATCAAGATTATATGATAGTTTCAATATTAGAATTTTTAATGAACCACTACTAGATTGTAAGGACTCTTTATGTTGAGGGATATCAAGTTTGTTTGTAATCACACGGTTTTGATCAAGGCATTGTGAATCCCCAAAAAAAAAAAAAATACTAGTTAAATTGCGAGTGTTAGGTTGCCAAGGTAGTAAAGGCCATCATAATGAATATTCTACAGCTTACTCGACCCAGAAGTACTTGGAGAATGCTAATATAGCGAGAAACAAGTAAAACCGCAAACACAGCTTTTATGGATGCGCTTATCTGCATCAAGTTTCGGCAACAACAGAAACGTACCCAGCCAACAAGAGCACGACGAATGACGCTACAGAGTACCCAGCCCGAACCCAATCTTGAATTACTGCCCAATTGCACATTTCCGATCATGTAATCACCAAACTAAACTTGCCCAAAAATAGTAGACCAGCCCAAAAAATTCCAATGCAGTCAGAGGCTACTAATGCTAGAAAATTCAGCTTTTCTTTTCTTTTGTTTTCTGGGAGAATGACATCAAGGCCTTAAAATAGACTTTATTATAATTTGAACCTAAATGAATTTGATATTACTCTGCAGACCTTGGGGCTCTTATTGTCAATTTTCTTGAGATCAAAAGTAAGATTTTATCCTTTGTTTAATTTGAATTTAAAATTAGCGTGAACCCTCGAAACAATGAAATAGACCATGCATAACATAACATTCATTATCCACAAGACCAGATTCATGCATGCTCAAAAAAAAATTCATGCATTTCAAGTATTTCACTAGTCTTAGCTTTAATAAAAATGACTAGGCAGACCATGCACGACACAACATCCATTATGCACAAGATGATGTTCATGCGTGCTCAACAAAAAATCTATACATTTTTAGTATTTCACTGGCCTAGGCTATAATTAAATAACGTTAGACAAACCATGTATGACACAACATTCACTATGCACAAGACGATGTCCACACAAGCTCAATAGAAATTTCATATATTTTTAATATTAAGAAGAACAATTACATTAGATATGAATAATTTTATGTTGGTATTAGCTTAGGTACTAAAACAAGTACCCACATAAAATTTGACATAATATTTCAAATCTGATATATATAAAAAGTTAGCCACTATATCCAAAATATCTAACAGTTGTTTCCCTATATATAAATAAAAAATATCTGTGATTCCTAATTACCTAAAAAAATTACTTGAAAATGCTTTCATATACATAATTATAGCTATCTATGTATACCTAAGAAGTATAATGTAACTACTTTTCATGCTGGGTTAGGATTCTTGCATGTCTTGTAACTGTGTTTGGCCTTCCCACATCATAAACAATGATAAATCTTCTTATCTTGAAAGAATCTATCCTCCTTATTCGTGGCTTCCTATGAGGATAGCTAGTTAAAGACGGTTGCAAGAAAAGAAAATTTGTGATATATTATTATCTAAAAGTTTATGTGATTTCAATTTATTATTATACTAGGCTTAACAAAATACTGAAGTTGGACAAATAATGCATAACACAATATCCACTATGCACAATATAAAGTTCATTCATTATCAACTAAAAGTCTATATGATTCTACTTTATCAGTAGGCTAAGCTCAACAAAATGCACGAGTAAGCAAATAATGCATAACACAATATCTACTATGTATAATACAAGATTCATATATTCTCAACTTAAGTCCATACAATTCTATTATATCGTCAGTAGGCTAGGTTTAACAAAATGTACACGTAAGCAAACAATCTATAACACAATATGTACTATACACAATACAAGGTTTATATATTTTTAATTAAGAGTCCATATGATCTTAGTTTATCAGTAGGCTAGAATTAACAAAATGCTCAAATTAAGCAAATAATGTACAACACAAAATTCATTGTGCACAACACAAGGTTCATAGACTCTCAACTGCAATTCCATGTGATTCCAGTTTATTAGTAGGGTAGGCTTAACAAAATGCTTAATTTAGGCAAATAATGTACAATACAATATTTACTATGTATAACACAAGCTTTATATATTCTCAACTGAAAGTTTATACAATTCTAATTTATTATTAGGCTAGGCTTAACAAAAAGCTCAACTTAGACAAACAATGTATAACACAATATTCATTATCCTCAACACAAAGTTCATATATTCTTAATTGAAAGTCATATTGTTTTGAATTATCACAGGTTTTGGGTTTCAGGTTCAAAACAAGGAGCACATTAGAGCTTCATGACTAAGTGCTAAATAGTCTTATTTTTTCATGACAAATGCATAAACCTATAACAATATTATGTTTAGCTAAATTGTCATAGCAAGCATGAAAAAAATGATATGGACAATAAATAAGGCTTGTAAGATTTTTTGAACAAGAGCATCCAAAATATCTTTCCTTAGTCAAAACCACCTTCAAATTAAAGCTTGTGGAGTTATGTGGTTTCACGTTCATTGTGCATAGATAAAACACATCTGGATATGATGTTTGACTAAAACTAAAGAATACAATCTCATTGATAAAGCATGTCAACTTTCAAAAAATAGAATGATGCAAACTACTATAGGCTAATATAAAGCAAAGATTTATTGTTTATTAACACAAAGCATAAGTTGAAAGAGGGAAAACTAAGTGTTAGCATTCTTTTCTGGTGATATGCGAAGTAAGGGAAAACGAGGGAGAGAACAAATGAGAATGCACAATAGGGGAGGAACAAAGAAGAAGAATGAATGGAGAGGAAGATCCCGACTAGCACAGTCTTCCTCCAATGGTGGCAAGGGGCTGAGTTCCAGGGTCACAGCGATCAACAGCAATTCAATGCAAGGAAAGAGATTAAAAAATCATGATCTGTGGTTAAAGTATTAACAGCCAAAACTTCTACACTCATCCACGCCGATGATGGTCAACAATAGCAAAGCGACGAATGAAGAAATGAGAAAGAAGAGATAGAATCCATTGCTTCAAGTTTTTCACACATATTTTCTGAATTCAAATTAAACAAAGGATAAAATCATATTTTTAGTTTCAAAAAATTTGGCAATAAAAGTCCCAAAGTCTGCAGAGCAATATCAGATTCATTTAAGTTTAAATTATAGTAAAGTTTGTTTTTAAGACCTTTAATGCCATTTTTTCTTGTTTTTTCTTTTATTTAGAGATGTGGGCGAATGCAGCCTGAGATAATAAATTACAAATACCATCGAACCCAACCCAGGACCTCTCAGTTATAGCTTATAAATAAGAAAGCTTAGCAGAAGGTTCAGCTATTTTGCGAGGAGAATTCACTGTCTAAAGTAAAAAACCACCGTCTTTTCTCTATTTATTATTTTAAAAAAACGTGTATGTATTTTGATTCTCTCTGTTCAAGCAACTCAATTTCTTAAATCTTTTATTGGAGAAACTATATAAGTCCTATACGGTAATATTTTGAGCATTAAATTAAATATAAATTACCTTTATTAACGAGGGATGGCCAGCTCTTCAATAGATGAACAGTTCTCCAGTGAACGACAAGTCTCAATCAATCCGAATCTTCTGCCGACTGTCTATTATAATATTATAATATAATATTAGATATTCGAATATTACAGTATCTCCCTCCTATGTAATTCGTTCTACAGTGCCATCCGGCACAAATGTTTTTCTTTTATTTTTTTATAAATTAAAATTGTCTTACAAAATTAATTTTTAATAACATAAATTTAAATTTAAATTATATTTTATGTTTTGACTTTTTAAAATTTAAATTATATTTATCTGTTTAAAAATATAAAATTTTTTTTAATAAATTATAAGTGGAGTTCAAAATAATAACTGAGTCTAAAAACTCTATTTAAATAAAGATTTAAATTTTAAAAATAAAACTTTTTAAAACAATTAGGTTTGACAGCCTGATTTTAAAAAACCTTATGAAAATAAATTCAAAATCAAACTACTTTTTAAATTTTATTATATTATTATTATTATTTTATTTTATTTTTTGTGAAACACCCGTTTAGAAGCCAAACGGACCTATTGAACGCCTAAACCGTGAACCCCAATCACTCCTCACTCAAATTTCTAAACCTTGTTTCCTGCGATCGCCTCTCCCTCTGGCTTGTCCTGGCTCATCTCTCCCTCACCGCCTTATAAGTCTCAGCCACTGCCACTCTGTATCACTCAGTCTTTACCTCTCGTTCCTTATCCCTTAGCCTCACGCCCTCGCCGTCGCCCTCGTCCCTCAGCCTCACGCCTCTTGCATATCGTTCGTCTGACTCTGCTCTCGTTCTCACCTCTTGCATCTGTGAAAGTTGATTCTGCTCTCCTTCTTACCTCTCGTCACTGACTCTGCTCTCCTTCTCGCCTCCCGTTTCTCAGTCTCGCAACCTCTCGCCTGTCGCAGCTCGTCTCGCTGCTTCTCGCAGTCTCGCCTCTCGCCTGTTGTCTCTGCCTCTCGCCGTTCAGTTTCGGCTGTTGTCTCTCCCGGTCTCTTCTCTCGCCTTTCCCCAGGTTAGTTAATTTTCAATATATCATAAATTTTTTATATTTTAATTTATGAATGTTATAATTAATTTAAACTTCTAAATCTGTGTCTTTTAATTTTTAAAAAATTATAAAAAAATTTAATTTATTTTAATTTTAGCATATTTTAAGTAATTTATAGTGTTAAATTTTATTTTAAAACTTTCAGAATAAAACTTGTAGTGAACTTTTTAAATAAAGATTAGATCTAAAAAAAAATGTTAAAAATGTGAAATGAGGTTTAAGGATTCAGGCCCTTATGAGCCAAGTTCAGTTGGATGTTGAATGTTAAAATATGAGTTAAAGTATATTTTTTATCTTTTAACTTTATATAAAATTTTAATTTAATTTTTTAATTTTATAAAATATCTTTTTAATCTTTTAATCATAATATTTTTAGTTTTAAATGATTATTTTTTATATTAATCATTATTATTTTAAAAAAATTTAAACTTAATATATTAATATTTAAAAATATTTTGTCAATATGAAAAAATAGTATTAATTTAAAGATAATTGACTACTTTATTGAGAGTAAAATTTAGTTAAAAATACCCTATATTTTTAAAATGAAATGGTGGTAATATTTTTTGTATATTATGTGAAAGTAAAATAAATTATTATTTATATTTATATATTCAAATAACTAAAAAAAATTCTAATATTATACTAGGAATAAAAAATATAATTAATAAAAGTTATTAAAGAAATAAACAACTATTATTGTTTTTTTTGTCTTCTTAAAAAAATTAATAAAATTTAACTCTCACTCTTCTTTTTCATTTTTATTAAATAATGTAGATTAATATTTTTGTGCATCGCAGGGGTATAGAATCTAGTTAGTTCAAAACTCGTGATGTGGGTCCTCAATTAAGCCTGACAAGCTTAATCTTACCATATTTAAATACTATAATCCTAATAAGGTTTCACTATGCTAGTCTGAGATTAAGCTTTCCATGCTAAAGATTGTAATCTGGGTAAGGCCTCACTTTGCTAAATGCACTGAGCCAAGGCCACCTTAGGATACCAATATTTAAACACTAAAGACTAATCTCTTAATATTTACAGAGCCAAGGCCAAGTTAGGATAATAATATTTAAACACTAAAGATTAAACTCAGAACTTATTGCAAGAATGTAACCCGTAATGAATCATGATCAAATTCTTTATTATGCACAAGAGTCAAGTACGGAGCATAATCGAATTTTTGTTGACAAAAATAAAATATTAGTGACACAAACTTCGAGGAGAAGAGAAGAGAATTAGAAATAACTCATGAAGAAAGCACACTCAAATTTCATAAACGGAAATATGTCACAAGCTTGTTCTTCTACATAGAAGTTCAGGAGAAGTTATAGACTCTTCTCCTTCCACCATCCAAACTACAAGTTTCTATACAGACATTACAAGACGAAGACATGAGGACAAATTCCAAATCACTTAAAGACAAACTCGAAGTTTCAACACACTAAAATCCAAAGGTCATGCAAACTCCATTCTTGCCATGCATCCTTACGTACTTCACCTATGTTGGCTCCTTGTAGCTATCATTAGTAGATAGGCTCATGTGAAAGTAACAGACTAGAGACGATTTTTTCTTCCTTTTTGATGGCTCTCTGGAGTTTGTACTCAAGTTCTATTGATTGATACTCTTCCGGTATATCTTTAGGTGTTTTTTTGAACACAGTTAAACGGATAATCCTCATAATATTGTGTTTCTAGTTCATTGGAGTCTTGGGAGTTCTGTGGAATGGTTTCCAGGGCTTCACTATCTGAATAACACTGAACTTGTGAACTTGATAGCTCGTCTTAGGTGGGGCCTAAGGTAAGCTTCGTCATCCAATCACCATGGAAATCAACTTTATACACCAAAAGCTCTTTTGGTATAAAAAACTTCTAAGGAATATGATTGAGGGAGGTGCGCTTTTAATTCTGGATATCATCACCTTAATGGTTATTGAGTTCACATCAACTAATTTTATAAACAACCCACTCATTGAACCGCTGCGTTGCCACTAGTTGATGGGAGAAAAAGAAAACGAAAAAAAAAAAAAAAGAACCTAAGTCATTGATTAAATTTAAACATACCCTAGGTTATTATTATATAAGCAGCAGCATCGTCATCAAACTACATCTTATTGATGGCCCTAGCCAAATTATCATTCTCATTTTGGTTTTCTGGGTGAAAATCATCCTTGTATATGGATCAATAATTTCAAAACTGGACTAAACCGGATTATCCGACTGTGGTAAAACCTCTAACTAGTCACTATCGCGGCTCAGTTTGAACCAATTATCTATTTTCGCATTTGGACCGGGTTAGGCCATTCTTGAGAGGTGGCTGGATAGCTAACCGCCTAAAAGTTGGGAACTGAAAGTGGTTTTTAGTGGACCAAGCGGTTCACTTTTTCCATACTTTTTTCCCCTAATTTAACCCTAAAAGTAAAAAGTAAAAAAAAGCCTCCTCTCTAGTCGTCCTTTGCACTCGCAATTCCAAGTCTTAGACTTGCGCTTTGCTTCCCTCGCGTCTTCTGTCTTCATATTTCCAGCCAGAGTTCGGATGGCGAGTCCATCCTTCGTTGTATATCCGTCCTTGCGTCACCGAGAAAGTTCAGATCACTTTCATTTCGGTTCATTCATTCCTCTGCTTTCTTGAGATATTATCTGGTATTGTGGGATTTTGATTGTTGAACTTCCTCGCTTGGAAAAAGAACCTGCCTCTTTGCACTTCATCTCTCTCACTCAACTCTTCCCCACCTCTTTTAATTTTCCTTCACCTAGGGTTTTCGTTAGCAAATAACTAAATACGTATGCTAAAAAGATTCTGCATCTTGCTTTTCACTCAAGCGAGGGTGAAAATGTTTTATAATAGTAAAGTCAAAAAATTTTGCATCTTTGATATTTATTGGGAATCAATTCTAGGATCAAAATTATGGTTTTAAAAAAATTTATTCAAACACCCTTATTTTATAAAACTTCAATTTAGATAAGCTGTACATGATTTGTGACTGTGACAACTTGACCAACTTTTATAAATAAACATATTATGTTCTTTAAAATGGTAACATATGAACTTTGGAGTTGGGACCCATTTATTATTATTATTAGATTTTTTTAATGCTTTGTGATATAGTTTGGATTTATTATTTGAGTTCGAGGATTTCGTTGGGTAGTTTGGATGAAGATAGCATTCCATAAATTACAGTGGTTCATTCTGCATACCATAAGCTCCACATAAATTATCTTAATTAATCTAGTGCCATGCTAGGCTAGTGAAACAGCTTAGCTCAATTAAAATCCACCAATCTTTAACAAGTCATGAATTAATAATATGATGTTATGCTTGTTTAAGTGGTTTATGTGTTGTATTGTACTGCCTTGTCACTTTGTGATATGTTGGCATTGACTATTTGACTTGTTACTTATTAATTATTTGATGTTATGTTACATTATATGGCTTATTAACTCACATTTAATTTAGAATATTTTACTTTATTTTCAAGTCATGTAATAATTTCATATTTATTTTTTTAATATTTATTTTATTATGTACAAATATAATTTTTTAAATTTAATTATTATATTATCGATTCAACTATTGGTTCAACTTATTTGGACCATACGAATTGTTAAAGCCTTTTTAATTTAACATCCGATTCAATTATGAAAATATTGGTGCAAATATTCTTCTCTGAAAAAAAATCATGTTTGAAGTATTATTGAATATTAAATATAAGCATCTCTCCTATCACACACCCATATATATTTTCATGTGATAATCATGTTATCATAACTAGTTAACAATATAATTTGCCGTAGATTTTAGAGGATTTAATTTAAATCTTCTAAAGCCATGTCATTTCGTTGTGGCGATGATCATGTCGTAGCTGCCTACGTCAAGTGCCACAAAAACTCGTCCGGGCTCAATGAACATTGTACAGCTGCCTCCGTCCCTGTCACCGCCAGCCTGTTGTACGTAGTTATTCACTATTCCTAATTTTTTTTATAAATTATTTCTACTAACATTATTAATATTAATATAAAAAATAAAAAAATAAAAATATATAAAATTTTAAATATAATTTTATATAATAAATTTAAAAATGATGTTATGTTACTTTTTTTTCTTTCTCTTAAGGATAATTTTAAAATATTTTTTAAATATTATTTAAAACCGTACCTCATTTATAAATAAAATTAAATAAATTTTTTTTAAATATTTTTTATGAACAAAACTGAAAGAGTAAATGGTTTCCTTTTTGGGTTTTTTTTTCCAAAATAGTCATTTCCTTCTCATATCTCCGTTGGATATAAAGAAAATCGGACTGTGGTTACGAATCTGTTTTGTTTTTGTTTCTAAAAAATTTTCAGTTATTAAAAATAAAAAATTAGAGAATGTTTTAGTTGAATATTCTGCATTTAATTGTTTTCAAAACCAAAAAATAAAAATGGCTTAAAATTGTATTAATTTTTTTAAAACGCACTGCATTTGGTTATTAAAATACATAATTAACTTGACTAATTTTTATGATAAATCACCATCATTAATTTCCTACTATCATCATTATCAACATATTTTTTAATTTTAAAATTATTTTTAAATTAACATAATTAAACAGATTTTTATTATGTTTTGTTTTAAAAAAATAATTTTGAAAACTATAATATAAAATAGTTTTTAAAAACAAAAAATAAACAAAAACGAACATGCCTTAAAAAGAGAACTTCCCAGAAAGGACACTATCAATTTGATATCAACAGCAGCCGCCGTATCAGCCAGTGGCACTATCACATATGATTCCTTGAACATCTCCGAACAGTTAAAAAATAAATGAAAATTCAGGATTCGAGATCTCTGATTAAGATTAATTTCAAAAATAAACGACATTTTCCCATAAATAACTGAACAAGAAAGATTTAGAGGGGAATATAAAAATTAAAAAGAACGACTTCCGGTCAAACCTAGAACTACAATATTCAATATTGAAGTATCCAAATAGGCGACAAACTCTTGGTTCGCGCAAGAGCACACGTCACCGCATTACGCTCACTTTTCCCTTCTCCCTCTTCACCAGTAGCCTTTAGCCGTTTATATTCTTATTTTAAGGAGGATTTTTTTCTTCTCTTGTTTATAAGTTAAATTATTAAATTTTTATTATAAATTTCTTGTTTTAATATCTATTAAATGTTGATGAGCAAAAGCATATTATTAAAGTATATATGTATATATATTTAATAAGGATAAATTTGAGAACTTATTAAATTTCTAAAGTTTACTTGGCTTTGATGAAGCATGTTAGAAATAAATTATAAATAAAACTAGGAGAGTACAACTATATAGTTATACTCATAAAATTTGGTGCTCCTTGTAACATCTCAAAATTTAATTTAAGGATTAATTAAATTAATTGAGGAAATAAGAGTGTTTAAGAATTTTAGTGAGTTTAAGGACCTAATTAAGGAGATATGTGTATTGAGGATTTAATTTAAAAATTTTGTATTTGAGGTATTAATTGAGAAATCATGTATGATTGAGATTAATTAATTATTTAGGCACTTATTCATTATCAAAATTGAGCCTAGGATTATGAATGAGGGTTATTTAAGGTTCAAATTAGGTTCTAGGCTAGTTCTAGGCCTAAAGTATTGGGCTTAAGTTAAAATTCAAGGATTGTAAAGTTTGCTATAACAAACAACCAAAAATCAAACTTAAAGGTCTGTTTGTGAAATAGACGTGCGAGAGAGAAGTTTTGGTGAGTTTTGGACGATTTTCTTAGTCCTATTAAGGTTTCAACCTCTCTATCACTAAGGCTTGGATTTTCTTTAGCTCCGTTAGGGTACTTTAGCTAGGTAACCCTTCACAATTGAAGAGCAAACCTAACCCAATCGTTTGGATTAGTTTTATATGATTTGATAACCCATAAAAGAAGATATAAGAAGAGAAACAAGGATGGATTGCATATAATCATACATAGTTGTTATACATTGAATTAAATACCATATTGTCATGGATTAATAGTTTTATGATGCATATTGAGTACTGATAGTTATATAAAATATGAATCTTTGCCTTACGTACTTGCAATTGCTACACTTTTATGTACTTAAATTTATGTGCTTTAATTAATGAGATTTTATAATCTTATTTCCCGTTTGTTTACATATTTCCAAAAGAACATCAAGGTGAAAGGAAAAGGGAAAGCCTCCAAGGTTAAGGGCCAGAACTTGTTATTGTAAAGTCTCTAGTCTCCTTGAAGTGTAATTGAATGGATAATTTGCCTACTTAGGGATTGATTATAACATGTTCACTCTTTTGCCTTTTGCATGTGACCTTTTGTTGTTAGACTTAAGCATTTTATTGTATAATCTTCATGTTTTGGAGGAGGGCTTAACTTGTAATGTATTTTAATGGTTATTATGATATGCATATATAATGTCAATTATGCAGGATTATAGTTTATGCATGTAGAGTGTGAATGACATTGGCTCAAGAGGGGAGACACTTGATTGGTGCTTGTGGCATTAAAAGTTTTCCTTGGCACCAAGCGTTCTAGGATTCTCATTTGACATTGTAATGGGTTAAACCTAAAACATTAGATGGATCTTTTAATTATTTACATATGGAAGATTTGATCACCTTAATCAGAGGTTTGAGCAGTTGATTAGTTGCTGTTGATGTTTAAATTTAATGTCGTCATACATGCACTACAATCAAAGGTGCACCACAGCAAATAGTTGCTTTAGCTGTGGTGGATGTGCCATTTTGGAGTTATACGCAGCGGATACAACCTTTCGTCGTAGTGAGGTGGTCCCTATGTTACATGCCGTAGTGAATTGTGAATAAGCTACGTTATATTTTTGTTGTTGATAAAGTAAGTGTTATATTTTATTATTTGCTTTCAATAATTTTTTAGGATCCCATTATCCTTAATGCTTTAAAAGTAATTGTTAAAATTTGCCTTGGCCAATATTGATCCTAACTTTTAATTTCTGGTTTAATTAATTGGTTTATTAATGATGAAAATAATTACACTCCTTCACAAGATAGAAAAAATCAAACCATTCGAATCATATTTTTAAGGAGAGAAAATCATTAAATGTAGAAAAATGAGAGTCACCATTAAAGTTTTTAAAAAAGCTTTGGTAAACCATATAAAGAAAAATGATGGTTTGTGAAGAAAGATTCAGAAGCCAATTGTCTATTGAGAAAGTGTTAGGTATGCTGTGATACTTGTACATAAGAACGATTATTCTAAGTTAATACTGCATAAAATTAAATTGGCCTTTTAATATATCTTGATTACCCTTTTTAATCACATGCAAAACTAATAAAAAGAAATAAATAAAAATAAACTATTTATTTACATGGGAGGATTTAATCTAAAATAAAAGCCTAGAACCTACGTATCTTGCAATAAAAATCAAAGTTCAAGAAGCACGAGTATTATTATTTAAACTTTTTTATTCTTTAATTTGTTTATGAAAAGAATATTCTTTTGGGTTAACCTTTATTATTTTTATTATTGTTAAAAAAACAAAGATTTAACTAGTGTTGGAATCTATAGTGATGTATTTTGCATCACTAATAATATGCTAGTTGATACTCTAAATGCATACGATTATTTAGTATCACTTTATGATAAACTTTAAAAGAAATTTTCAAAGAGAATATTCTAGAAAATAATTTAATTATAAAAATTTTAATTTAAAGTCTTACACCCATGCTAACTTAATTAGTATTATTTACAATATCTCGATCAATGCTTTTAGAGATTCATGGTAACTTAATATCACTTCTAGTGTAGCCTAAAAATATGTTAATAAATCTTATTATTTTTAAAATAATGCACAATGAGAATTTTTTTAACACTTGACAATCCTAATGATTTAATGTCACTCATATTAATGTGCCAAATATTCATAATGATTTAGTGTTACTCATGAAGGATTTGAAAGGGGCAACAATTTTTTTATTTATTTACTCATTCAATTTCCAAAATGGGTTGGAATGAAGCTCGGAATAATTCAGCACTTTTGTTAGAATGACGAAAGAAAATTAGATCACCCACGCCTTACGAGCAACAAATTAATTGTCATACCTTTATACATGTCAGCATGCACGTCCACACATCCCAATCAGCTCGGGTTTTAGTTTCCATTTTTTTCACATTAAATATAATGATTTAAAGAACACATGATTATGAAATAATATGTAAGTATGCCCCGCATGACCCACATTCATTGCATACGTGAGAAAAAAGGAGGAGGAGGAGGAGAAAACAAAAGAATAGTGTGCTCCCAAATCCCTCGTCGATCGAGGAAAGTGTATTATTGATTCAAGTGGGAGTGAAATTATATATCATTTGGATTGGAACGAAATGAAGTTGGCGGAGACATAATACTCGCAACAACGATTATAATTAGACGCAATGAAATTCAAGACCATAACGATTATAAGACATAATGCCCACAACAAGAAGTTGGCGGAGAAGTAAATAAAGAAGAAAAAGCTCCTAGAGCAAGGTACAATAAGGATTTCTCCTTGCCTCCCCTTTTTCTCTTTCACCTTGCTCCCCCTCTTCAAATTTTCTTCCCTCCCTTTTATAGACTTAAATAGGGTTTCCTCTCATTAATGGCTTGATCAAATTATAATGGCTATAATACATAAAATTTTTTTGAATTTTAAAGCAGTTGCATATAACTCCACTCAACTTTAAATATTTAAATTAACTTTTTTAACCTTTACTTTTGTTTTTCAATGCCCCTACGGTTAATTAACTTTGTTATGTTATTAATAAAGTTTGCCATGTTAGATTTTATTCAAAGACACATGGTACATGATATGGGAAAAATATTCTTATTAATTTTTTAATACAATTTCAAAGGGGGAAAGATTGTAATTTTTACTTTTAACACACAAATGGCAAGACTTTTTTTTTTTAAGTTCAGCAACATTATTCTAATTATTTACTGTTAACCTAATTTAAGAGAAAAATTATAATTTTATTATTCTTTATCAATTAAACTAGCCCTTTATATTAAAAAAATGAAAAGAAAATTATCTAAAAGATGTCTTTGATATGAATTATATAAATAAAAATTTATCCTTTAACACAAAAAAAAACTATGCGCCATTGATAATAAAAAAATGAATGAAACCAACACAAAAGTAAATATTTAAAAAATAATATAATTTTTATACATTTATTATTTGCTTATATAAAATATCATGAAAGTTTCTATGTGACTTTACTTAATCTGACGTAGCAAACTTTGTTAATTACATGATAAAGTAAGTAATGGTAGGGGGTTAATTTTAAAGGGTATGAAGCAAATTTTAAATATTTAAAAATGTGGGGAGTCATACACAGTTGATTAAAAATTAAGGAAGTTTTATGGATTTTAGACAATTATAATCCCATTGTATTTAATTTTTTTTATTGCCTTTGTTTGACTTCTATTTTTGATTTGTCAATCTCCATTATAACCATATCATGGTAATTAATTTTGACTTGACCATAACTATGAGGGATTTGGAAGTCGAAGAAAAGGAAATTTTTCTTTTAAAATCATTTTATATATTTTTTATTTTTATCAAAAAACTATTTTATTTCCTTTTTTTATAATTTTATTTATGTAATTTTATTATTATTTCTAATTATTTTCAGTTCACATTTGGAAACCCAAAAAAAATATGATATTTACAATACTAGTTAATTGGACCAATGAACCGATCATCAAGCCAATCTGATTGATGTGCTGAATTGAGGTTATGAATTGGATTAATTTGGTCAACCCAGCTCCAACTCGTGAAAGCCTAGTTAACCCAAGAAGTTAATTGATTGACCTAGATTAGATTTATTAATTTCTTTTTTCTATTTTCCCTTGACTCTTCTAAAAATCAAACTTTAAGAGTCCTATAATAACCTAAAAAGTTAGGTAGGAGTAAAATTTATGATAAATTACTTTGATTGTACTTGCATTAATTTTTCACACAATTATGACAAGGAGGAATTTTGGTGTAGTGGAAGCTTTTACAAATAATATCTATTAGGTCTAGAGTTTGAATCTGTTGATGGCCCACTACTTGCCCCCTTATGGATTCATCTCTAATATGAAGCCCAATGATTCATCTTCCATCCATCTTCTCTCTAAGATTCCTTGAGAAATCTAGCTACCTATCATCATCTTCAAATCTTCAAAGGAGAACCCAACTTGGTCGTGCCTTCTCGTTCTCTTCAATAATGATTTGAACCTTTAATCCTTGATTTAATTTGAGGGTTTGGATGAAATGGAGAATAGAAGAAGAATTAAGGTGGTCTTGTGTGATTTGGATAAGAAATGAGAGATATACATATGAGTGATTGATTGAGTGAAAAAATTGAACAATAAGTGAGAAAGTGAAAGAAAATGTTTAAATGTGAGAAAATTAGTGTGTCATCTAAATGTGGGGCTTGGAGCATGAAATAGGCTAGGAGAAAATGAGAGAAAAGTGCTGGAAACTCATGAAGTAGTTGTGGTCTTCAATTAGAATCCAAGTAGCCAAAACTAACTAGCATTTTGGAGGGAAATTGATGACAATTCCAAAGCTAGACTTTATCTAATATAATGCACCATTCCAAACCTAATTTGCACCTCTTCAAATCTGCACATCATGCTTAAATTGCCCTTTGGAAGCCTTCATTGGTTACCTTGAATAATGTCTTCAATTCTCACATTTATTTACCTAAGTCACAATTTAATCATATAATTAAATAACCATAGTGTGACATTTATTTAATTAGACTAAGATACAAATATTTAATTCATCAAGTAATAAAATAACTAAGAAAAAATTAATATAAAAGCCTCGTAAGATACAAGTATAGACAAGCACATCCTTGAACTAAAACCAAAGGCTAAATGAAAACCCCTTAAAAAGACAATCTTAAATGTTATCTTTTCTTAATTAATAACTCCAAACTTAGGATGAATAAATAAAAACTAATTTGATCAATCATTTTAGCTCATCAAAGGACATAATTCTCAAGCTTAACCTTAAAAAAGTACACTTTATAACCAAGATAGCCTTAATACATGTCAATTTAATATCTAAGTAAATTTGCACTAAAAATGTGATATGAATACATACGAACACTACTTGAGCGTGTAAAATAGTCCTAGTTAGTTAAAAAATGTGTGTAAATAATGTATCTTATCAATTCTCTCATATTTAGCTTTTACACTTCGGGAAAAATAAATTGAAAATGAAGCCCACAACATACTCAAACAAGTGAAAAAAGAAAACAAATGAGACTGCATTTAGAAATTGGCATATGTGTATTTTTATGATAATAAATAATAAATTATATGAAAATAAATATTATTAAAAAATGTAACCTGTGAAAGTGTGAAGGGAAATCTTTATTATTTGTATGAAGTTATCATGTTTTTTCAAGTTTCAAAAATACCATTTAAACAAAAGGGTAAAAATGAAACATTGTTTCATGTATTTTCACACAACACTTTGTAAATGGGACCGCTTTTTATTTTTATTAAGGAAAAAATGTATATATTTAATTTATATACTTCATGTGCTTATTTGTAATTGACTAAATATGTAAATTTTTTTATAAAATAAATTTTTATTATTAATTTTATTAAGACATTAAGATTCACTTATTAAGATATGACAAGATAAAAATATATTAATTATATAAGGCTAAATACATAAATATAAGTATTACCATTTTTTAAAGGGAGAATTTCAACTAAGAATGAGGGAAGAGGAATATTTACTAGTAAGTTTCAAAAAAATTTGAAAATTCTCTAGAAGTTTTTTGGACTAAACTGAAATAAAGTTGATAGTTAAAAAAATTAAA